GCTCAGGTACTTGGTCTTCTTGACATTCAGTCGTAGCCCGCCTTCTGCCAGGACCTTCTGCCATTGCTGCACCTTGGCCTGTAGCTCCTCTCTACTATCCGCTATCAGGGCGATGTCGTCAGCGTAGAGGATGGTCTTCAGTGGTCCTTCCATGAGGTCCTTGACCATGGTATCGAGCGTTAGGAGGAACAGGAAGGGGCTCAGAGCTGACCCTTGATGTACCCCAACCGTGATGTTTATCTCCTTTGTTAGGCCGTGAGGGGTGCGTATCGTTGCTTTGGCTCCTTCGTACATGTCCTCCACCAGCGAGATCAGGTGTTCTGGCACGTTTCGTTCCCTGAGCGACCTCCATAGCAGCACTGCTCGCGGTAGCCGGTCGAACGCCTTCTCCAGGTCGAGGAAGGCTAGGTAGCAGGGTCGGCGTTTTTCTCGATACTTCTCCATCACTTGCCTTGCGATGAAGATGGCATCCGTTGTAGATCTTTCGGGCATGAACCCGAACTGTTCCTGGGAGATCGGGACCAGCTCCCGCAGCTTCTTATCGACCAGCCGCTCGTACAAGCTTCATGGTATGCGCAGTCAACTTGATGCCGCGGTAGTTGGAGCAGTCCATTGCGTCGCCCTTCTGTTTGAAGATGGGGACGATGGTACTTGTCCTCCATGCATCCGGCATCTTTCCTTCCACTGTTACCTTGTTCAGGAAGCTGGTGAGCCACCTTATGCCGTACTCTCCGAGCGCCTTCCATGCCTCGATTGGCACCCCATCTGGGCCAACCGCCTTTCCAACCTTCATCCTCCCAAGTGCACACCTAACTTCATCCCTTTGATTCCTCAGAGTGCGATGGGACCAGCAGCTGTGGCCTCTGCCCTTGAGTCGTTCTTGTGGGGGAACTCCTCGTTCAGAAGCCCCGTGAAGTACTCTTCCCACCTCCTCTTGACTTCGGCTGGCTTTCTTAGGATGACACCATCGCTGCCTTTTACACTTTTCACCACCCTGATGTCTTGAGTAGCACGATGGCGGGCCTTAGCCAGCCTGAAGACGAACTTCTCTGCGTTTCTGCTTTCCAACTTCTCGTACAAGGCGTCCATTTCCGTGTTCTTCGCCTTGGCGACAGCAGCCTTAGCGAGCCTCTTGCAACTCCTGTAGGTGGCGAGGTCTTCGGGGCTCCGGGTCTTCTGCCAGCGCTTGTATGCTTCCTTCTTCTGCTTCACGACTCGCTGAACCTCCTCGTTCCAGAACCACGCTGCCTTGTCTCCTCTGAATCCACCTCGCGTCTCTCCCAGTACCTCTTTGGCGCATTGCAGGATAACCTTAGCGGCATTGCTCCATGTCAGCTGAACTGGTCCTTGTGGATCCGGGAGGCCAGCTTCGAGTACCCTCCGCTTGAGGTCATCCTTTTCCGCTTGGTGCAGCTTCCACCACCGGATTCTCCTCTCGGTTCTTACCCTTGTCTTCTTGGGGAGGTCTATCGCAATGTCTGCCAGGAGGGGCCTGTGCTGGGGAGCCAGGTCTTCGCCGGGTAGAACTTTGATATCCTTCACAGTTTTGAGGGTTGATCTTCTTACCAGCACATGGTCGATTTCCGTCTGTCTCCCTCCGCTGCTGTAGGTTACCTTTTGTGATTCCCTTTTCGCGAAGAACGTGCTGCAGACTGCCAGGTCGTGGGCTGTAGCCAGGTCTAGAACCCTCTCTCCATCAGCGTTCCTTGTTCCTATTCCTCTACCTCCGTGCACTCTTCTCTAAGCCTCTTCTGTCACTACCGACGTGACCATTCAGGTCACCTGCTATGGTCAGGTAATCATCTTCCGGAACCGATCTTATGGCTTCGTCCAGGCTCAGATAGAACTCGTCCTTATCACTTTCGGGGCACCCGGCTTGCGGTGCGTACACGGAGAGTATGGTCCAGTACCCCTCCTTCGTGTCTATCCTCACAGCCATGATCCGATCGCTGATCCTGTTCACAGCGGAGACAGATAATGTCCTTGAGCGACTCCGCTACCGCTATGGCCACACCGTTCCGCTTGGTGTCTTCTCCATTGTAGTAGAGCTTGACACCTTCCCCGATTTCCCTGGCCTTAGCACCTTTCCATCGCGTCTCCTGAAGGCATAGGACTTGGATATTCCTGCGCGTCATCAGATCAGCAACCTCTCGGGACTTCCCAGTTAGCGATCCTACGTTCAGAGTCCCAATTCGAACTAGCTTCTTTGGCCGAGGCCGTTCACTCCTCGGTAGCCCTCGCATACTGACCACAGAACTCGGGCGGGGGTTCTGCGCCACTTCCGGGTGACGTCCTAGCTTTATCACTGATTCCTTTTTCGACTTTAGACATATTTGTTGTGACGGGGGTCTTCATCAGCCGGCCTGTCAACCTGGGCCTGACGCTGGTACTAGAACCATTTTTGCAATTTTTGCAAGGCATGGTTTAGAGCCTCGGCAGGGATCGAACTCGCGGTTTTCAGAGGTGCAGACATGAGTCTAACCTTAACCACTCGGCTATCCCTGCTCGGTTAGGTGGCACGCTTGAAGTGTTGATTTGTTTAGATTCAACTCGGTGACTCTATCGCATTAGCATGAATATAGTACGTACGTCTGTCAGAGTTCGGTCTCGGTGTTCGGGGTGCTCTCGAACAGGTGATATGTCTGTAGTGTGACGAATCCGTTTCGGTGTACTGGGTTCAGCTCCACACGTACTCGAAGACGTTAACGCATGATCACCATCACTTAGGCATCTGAACAACCAAATTATATTCAAGTCGATAACTTTTACATCAAGGGGGCATTCGGTTTTTATAGTAGGCGCGGCCTACAGGAATCACACTCATTGCAGGGGGAGAAAGCTTCAAGCAGAGTCAAGTCAGGCTGTTCCGGTCCCAAAAATTTTGCGATTCTTCTCCAAGTGACTAGATATGATGCCGCTTGAGTGGCCACCTCACCAGCCTTGAAGGAGTGCTCTTTAAAAGCCTAAATATAACCTCCCCGTTGAGAACTGCGGAACGGATGGTTGACCGTAACCCCAGGGTGTGTGAGTTATTTGTTTTCATACCCACCCAAAAGAACGGAGGCAAGGGTTGGGAAGACAGTAGCTCCATCTGCAGGTTTGTCCTCATGCTAATACTTCCACCCCGAACTTTAGCGCTCATGACGCTTGGGGGCATTCAAGTGAGGAGCAAAAAACCTTTAGTGAAGGGAAGGGAATCGGAGAGCATGTCAGCAGTTTTCGTTCTCCCCGGTATTCCTTCCCCGGCCTACTCATACGATGAGTTAGACTCTTTTTGCATAAGTGAGGCTCGGTACAGCCTTTGTAGGTGATAATCAGTACTCGCTTTGTGTGTTATGATAGTGCAAGTCAAACCATACCTTCGTATGTCACGATGTTTCTGGAAAATTGAAAGACCGGCTTTGGCTTGATGACGTGTGCTCATATGTCTTGTGAGCACATCGCGACGCCTCTGCAAAAAATGGGCTACTTATGTAAATAAAAACCTATGTTTTGAGGAGAAACTGCTACTCACTGCTGCGTACGAACAGATTGTGCACTGGTAAGGCTTTTCGTCTGTGTGCGTCCGTCGATGCGTTCGTAAATGATCGGAGCGCGAGAAATATCGTCCGCAAGAATCACAACCAAAAGGCTTCTCACCGGTATGCCGTCGCAAATGTCTGAATAATTCTTGTTTTATTTACCATACACTGGAATGAGGTTTCGAGGCGCTGCGACGAGAAGTACATACGTCTTTCCGCTAGTATAATTTGCTAGCAGGTTATTGAGGAAAATGTCACCCAACTCGGGTGACCCTTTTTTGAGCAGTGAAACGAC